TTAGCCATGGCTGTCTTCTAGTTGTAGTGAGTATTTGCCTGATCATGCGTCTTGTGGTAAGTTCTCTTTTCAAGGTTCGGGCAGGGATTGGCCCGTTTGCCTGTGAGAGCATCTCCAACTCCCCCCGTCAATAGTGTGGTTTAGACTTGGATTTGAATAAGGCATATATTCAATTAGGATGGCCAAATAGCTCCGGTGCTCCCTGTGGTTTGGAAAATTGGCACTAATATCCCCTCTATTTTCAAAACTTACTTCTAAAGTCTTCGTGGTTTCAAAACGTTGCACCTACACCCCCTCTGATCATTTCCCGGCCATTTTCCGGCGAAGAGGGGGCATATACGCATAATTTTTAAACCATAGGGGGCATTCGTGCTCATTTTTTATTTTTTATTTATTATTTGTGTTTTCCTTTTTTTTAAATATTTTCTATCTCTTTTTCCTTTTCCTAGATTTTTTTCTAATTTATTTTTAATTTTTTATAATGTTTTAACCTTTTTTGTGTTTGAAATAAAAATAAAAATAAAAAAAATTAACATGCATTATATCTATTTGAAATTAAACATTTTCACTTTTTATTACGTACTTATTTGGAAAGTTCAAAAAGAAAAACCTAGAATAAAAAAATAAAAATATGGAAAAATAAAATGAAAAATAAAAATACACAAAAAAGTCGGATACAAAAAAAATGGACAAGCCTAAAAAAGTCCTTAGAATTGAGATGCTTGAAAAAGATATTCATTTTTATTTTTGTATTATTTTGTTTTTTATTTTATTCCTCATTTTTTTGAAATTATCAAAAAAAAAGTTTACTTTTTTCAGAAAAAACAAAAATTGTTGATTTGAAACGTACATATAAATTATATGTTAATTTTTTCAAACAAAAATAACTTTAAATTTTATGAACATTATAAAAATAATTTTAAAAAAACCTTTATTAATAAATGAAACAAATAAAGGAAAAAATGGGAAAAAATCAAAAAATAAGCGAGAAATAAATATCAGCATTGATATCCCCTGTGGTTTAGTAAATATGCACCAATGCCCCCTTCTTCGCCGGAAAAATGGCCGGAAAAAGATAAGAGGAGGCACGGGTGCAACATTTTGAAACCACAAGAACTTTAGAAACAAGTTTTGAAAACAGAGGAGGTTTTAGTGCCTATTTTGCAAACCACAGAGAGTACTGGCGCTATTTCTCCCAAGTAGGATTATGATGAATTTTTTTGTATTTTAAAAATAAGTAGGTATTTTACTGAGATTTTATTTAATCACTTAAGATTTGAGAATATTTAATTTAGATTTTAAAAAATCTATCAAAATCTAAAGATTTTAAACAATCTATTCATTTAGAAAGATTTGTATTATAGGTAAATTTTGATAGATTTTGGAGTCATGTTTCAAAAAGAAAATATAGTAACAAATCTGTGGCAATCCCCAAAGATTTTGATGTAGATTTGATCTTCTGGTGAGGGCCTATTTTGGTAAAGAGTTCAAATACGATTCAGCAACCCCAATGCGTGAGTTCATAGCCTGAATCGAGTTCAAATTCTTTTTTCCCATTCCAGATCCTCTTTACCAAACTGGCCGACTATTTTTTCTAATGGAGTAAAAAATTGTTCATGCTTTGTAAAGGCTCTATCCATTTAGACTTTGGAGAAGGTGATGAAGTTGAAATTCGGAGAGATATTTAAAATTTGAGGATATTTAATTTAGATTTACAATCTATCAAAATCTAAGAAAGACTACAACCATTATTTTGGGGTATAGGGTAGACTTGCTAAAACAAAATCGGAACTGATTACACGAACTGAACTATTTTAAAACCAAAATTTAAATGAACCAAAAATTTAAGATCCGATCTATAATCGAAAACCGAAATGATCTGAACTGAACCAAAACCGAACTAAATAAATCATATCTAATTTAATTCTGAAGCCGATTAGATCCGAAATCGATTATATCTAAATCGATTAAATCGGGAACCGATAATACCCAAAATCGATAATATCCAAAACCGATTAGAACTAAAAGTGATAAAATCTGAAACTGCTTTTTCCTTTCAATAAGCATATTATATTTTTAAATTTTTACTTTTATTTTATCATTTGAACTAATTACATTAATTGCTCATTCTCTCATAAAATTGATTACCATCTTTAAAAAATATTTAAAAAAATGATACCTTAAATTTATTATATTTAGAAATTGGACAAAAGTTTAACATATAAAATATGAGATGAATAAAGTAAGCCAACTACTTTGTTATTAAAAAAATTAAAGGTAATAAAATATTTGAAAAAAGGTAAAGCATCAAAAAATTAGGTCTGAGAGTTGAAAGTGAGTTTGAATCCAGAAATGAGTTGAATGGTGGCGTAAGAAAAAAGTGATAAATTAAGGAGGTAGAGTGAAAAAGAATGAGGGGAAATTTTGAGCATTAGGGGGGATTAGATATGAAAAAAATTAAATCTTTGATTAGATATTATGTTATAGGTATAGTACTAATTAAAATAATCGAATTTTGAAAAAAAACTCCCTCCATCTAAGAAAGAATGCTACATAATGCAAAACAAAACAAAATTTTTAGTTTTTTAAATTTATTTTATTTAAAGATTGGTATATAAATAAAAATGTTTACATATTTTAAAAAAATTGTCAAAATTTTTATAAAATGAGATGTTAAATAATCAATGAAAGGATTATAAAATGAGATGTTAAATTTTTATAAAATGAGATGTTTTTTTATAAAATGAGATGTTTTTATCAAATAATCAATGAAAACGTACAAATAAATAAAATTTCTATAATTTTTACATAGTGAAATGCGATATTCTTTTTTGGACGAAAGGATTATATGATGAATTGTATGAAAAAACTAGATTCTATTCTAATTTCATCCAAATACAATAAATTTTATTGGTTTGGGAGTTAATTTGATTAGTTTGAAACCAATACACTCAATATTACTTTATAACGTTAGAGATTAGCGTTATCGTTTAAAAAAGCTCTCTAGGACAGTGTTTAATGTAATCATTTTCAAATTTGATATACACCATTAAATTTAGGTGTAAAATTAATTATATCTAGCTATGTTGAATTTAATTTTATCTAATTTCAACGAAAATACACTCAAATAATTTATAATATTTGTAATCAACTGTATTAGTCTCATTCAATTTTTTATCAATTTTTAGGAGTAATATTAAATAAAATTCACTGACCAATCGCTTCCAAAACAACGCAGCCGAAACTAACCTATCCATTAGCTCTAACAGTATCAGTTTTATAATACTATTTATACTTGTGGTCGTGCCTCTTGCTACATGCTACAATATCATTTATATATACATGTCCTAAAGTCTATTAGTACAACTTCTCTTTTACAGAGTATAAAGTAATGCAATTACTTCATTAGTGACTCGACGAGGCAATCACTTCCTTCAGAAAAGCATTGTTATATCTTTGTTAACCTAACCAACACAAGAATTTCCTTCAAATTTCAAATGAGACGATTTCTTATAATGGCTTGTTAGTTCTTATGCAATTACTATAAACAAATGTCAAAGGCAATCACTTTGACATGTTGATTTGCTAGTGAAAAATTACTCCAATTTAGCCATAATAGGTGTATGTTCTCTCTTTAGAGTAACAAACAAATCATTAAGGATTGAAAATACTATTTTGTGAAGATGATGATGTTATTACTCCAAATCCTACTAATGGTATTTATAAAGAAATCTTCCAAATGTAGAGATAATTACTTTGCATATGGTGTTTGTTTATTTTGTTACTGCCACTAACATTATTTCGTGAACGTAACTTTGTTATCAAATATGGAGTACGTGGTGCTAAATTTATACTCTCTATTTAAAATTATCTCTCTACTTTGACTTTATTCTTGGGTCATTACAAAACGTGAAATAAAATATAGACATATTTAGTAGTTAACGGGTAAAAGTGAGAGTAGTAGAGTGGTTCAAATAAAAAGCGTTTGTCAAAAAAAATGAAAAGATAATTTATGAATCCAAAGAGTATTTCATGCAAGACTTGTACTCCATATTTAATATTTTACCTTTGAGGAGGGGTAATGTTACAATTCAAATTACCTCACCCACTTTTAAAGACATGTTTAAAAATAACGTTACATATTAGCCTTAGCATTTTGAAATGGTTATCTTCAGACAGCCTTTAGCGTTAGCATTTTTAAAATTAATCTACACTGTTAAAATTTTAAATCTAAAACGTTAACACTAATAAAAAATATTATTCTAAACGGGCCCTTAATATATTCTAACCACTTACTTTTCATTATTCAACATCTCTTTTAAAACTTTTTAAATCATGATAAAGTCAAAGTTAACAAATTAATTTAATACTCTCTCTGTCCCTAAAAGATTGTCACAATTTGATTTTCTTGGTCAAATTATGGTAACCTTTGACCGCAAATTATGGAAAAAATATATTTTGTTATAATGTAAATGAAGTAAAATTAAATTTATTTTTAAATATAATCTTGAAACATCAAATTTTAATAATTTTTAACTATTTTAAATTATATTTAATTCATGATCAAATGATATCACAATTTGACAAAAAATAATTAAACCGTGACAATCTTTTAAAGATGGAGAATAATTTTTTATTCTTCCGCTAGTTAGGGTGGATGTGGACATGCTCATTAACACTATGTTTGGTTCAAGGAATTTGGTAGGAAAAGAAAAGAAAATGGTTTTTCCTCATTTTCCTCACCAAAATGGGAGGAATTTGGTTTTCTTTCCTCTTAGTATATTTTGCCTTCTCTTTTTCTTTTCCTTCCACTTTTCTTTTCTTTTTCCTCTCTAACCAAACAAGAAAAATATTTTCCTTCTCATTTTTTTTTTGCCCTCTCAAATTCCTTGAACCAAACATAGTGTAAGTGTTGTTTGAGAAAAGAGTATTGTTAGAGTCACAAATGTTGGAAACAAATTACACAAATTCTTCATTTGTGTATTTCAATTACTCTCCAGAAAATGACTATTAATATATTCTCATATTCATGCCATTATTGCAGCAGAAGAACTGGAAACAGGAATAGAAAGGATACCTACCCACTGTCTTATTTGTGTTCAAATGAAACCCAGGACAAGATTATTGGAGTACTATTATATTTGGGTTCTGGGTTTTGATTGATCAATCAAAGACAGCAAGATTGGAGTACTCTTCCCCGGAAATGGCAGACTCCATGATGGCAACAGGATTGATTAAACCCTCATCTTCCAAGAAGGTCTTGAGCATGTTCTTAGAGCGGCCGCTGACCAATGCCACTCCTTTCTGTTTCGCCACCACCGGCGTGCACCTGGAGTCTCTCAGGTTCCAAAACACCATCTCCGGTATGCAATTCTCGTACCCTTTCGCCCTGAACTTCCTCTCGATTGCCTTGTAATCTGTTTCCCACTGGCGAGAGTAGACGTCGTAATGAGAGAGAGAGATGAACGCCTGGTTGAACTCCATGCCGCTGAACACAAACACCCTCTTGATCATCTGGTCCTCCCTCAGTTTCGCCATCTCTGCAACTTCAAGGATTGCATCAAACACCTTCTGGAGATCTGCGGTCCTTTCGGATTTCATCTTCTTCATGAACTCAACCTTGGACTGAAGGCTTTCGCCCTTGATCGTGCGCAGCTTTGGGGTTGTGCTGAAGGTGATCAGCTTCCCCTTCCATGGCTCTTCGCTCAACTCAGAGACCAAAAGGCCCAGCGCCAAGCTCACAAGATTCACATCCGTCTTCCCCCTCCTCCCTCTCCCCCAGGAACTCGAAACATCACAAATGGCAAGACAATTGCTTAGCTTCCCCTTTCTGCTCAGATCCTCAACCATTCTCCTCCACTGCGCCTCAGCAACTGCACTTCCAGACCCATCTTCCCTCACAGATTTAATGATCTCATGAGGAAGGCGCGCGCCAGCTGCTATTGTGGCCTTTCCTGATTTCACATCTTCAAGATACCCCTCAAAGCGCTCCTTGTCATGCTTCAAGAATTTCTTCTCATACACCTTCATAGCAAGCGAAGGGACTCTGTTGTAGGGAAGGGAACTCCAGTTTTTGGCACCCATGTAAACCTCCGGCAATTGAAGAGCATTGCGTAGGGGAACAAGGACTTGCTTCCTCAGCCGATCCCTCACCCGGTACGCATACTGCGCGTCTTCGATCCCTAGATACTCAGGGTGCTCTTCTTTGGGAAAAATCTTTCTCGCAATGCTTTCGCATAGCAGAGTGGATTGATCAAATGGGGAATTGAGGGAAGGGCACCATTTCGCAGCCAGGCTTATACGGTAAGAGCCCTGTTTCAGTGATTCCAAATCTTTCTTCAGAAACTCAGAGAAGAGATCGGAGATGCAATCGTGCAAGTATCTGTAGTCTGGATCATGTTTGTATCTGAGGATGGCCTTTCTGGATTTTTCCTTTTTGTTGTTTTCTCTTGCAAGTTTTGCGGCTTCCTTTTCAGCCATATGCTTCCTCTGGTTCTCCAAAATCCGGGTTTCCCTTTGGGCCTCTGTCAATCGAACCTTCTTCTTCTCCTCCTCCTCATCATCCTGAGCACGGCTATGTCTTCTTTTGCGGCGTGTAAGTTTCCGTCTTCCCTTTACGAGCTCGTGCGCCGTTTTTGCCTTCTCTCGAACATCATGGCCTTCGAGAAGCCGGTAGAGAAGCTCCGGAAGGTCCTTGAAGTAGCCGAATTTCGCGATTTGCCGCAAATTGCAAGCTAGGGTTTTGGGGTGGAGCCCGTGAAGCCACAACGCCGCCGTGTAGTACCCTTCCTTGTCCGATTTCCCGGTTCCCCGGACCCCGCGGAGGTTGCAGATGAGCTTGAGAGTTGTCAGGGGGTCGTGATCCCAAGCTAGCCGGAGATGCTTACGGATCGTGTCGGGGTCGCTGCCGGGTACGACCTGGAAGAAGAAATCCAGACACGGATTCGTGGTGGAGCGGTAGGTGAGGGAGAGATTCACGGCCAGGCCCATCGGGGGAGGCTTGACGGCGGAGGTGGTGTTGAAATTCGTCACCATCGCGTCCACGAAAGAGTCCGATTCTGAATCCGACGATTCATCAGCGGCGGCGGCATGCCGGGGCTTGTAGATCTCTGGAGGGCCGAGAATTACACCCATTTTTAGTTCAATTTGAGTGGGAGGAAGATGGAGAAGAATCTGTGTATGGCTATGCAACCGTGTATGGGAATATGGTTTTGTAAACGGAGAGCGAAAGGGAGAGATCCGCTTCTTGGGGGCCAAGCAACATTAGTCCCAAATTCTTAGAACTCAATAATTACTGAAATGTTAGGTTTAACTTTTACAAAAAAAAAATTGAAAAAATTATTTTAAATGATCCCACCATTTCACATTTTTCAAAAATAATTTAACCTTTTACTGTCACCTCGAATAATCTTACATTTCCGCATGTGTGTGACTTTTGGATCGCCGTTAAAAAAAGCTAACGAGCACTCAACGAAATTTTTAGAAAATGCATGTTTTTCGCAATTAAATAAAAAGTGAGATTATTTTAGACAAATTTAATTTTTAAAATTTATGTTTTTAAAATATAACAGTGCATTCTCATTAGAGATTTGTCTCAATTTTTTTTAAAAATATAACAATTTAGAAAGTTTGTTTTATGTTCTGGGATAAATATTATATTGGATTATCAAAAATTAATTTAGAGTATCGCTCAAAAAAGAAATTGCAATACAAAAATAATTGTAGTGAGTTATAAAATTAATTAGTCCCCTTTTGGAGAAAAAAATGTGTTTCATTTTCACAACTTTTGAATTCTTATTTTCTAAGGAAAATATTTGTACTAAATTATAAAAAATACAAATTGGATAGTTCTATTTTAGAAAAAATAATACGAGTAATAGAAGATTATCAATAATTCAAAGTGTCGTTCAAGAAAAGCAATAACAACTTACAAAAAAATAAAGTGTGTTATGAAGTAAGTAAATTAGTTTCATGGGGTAGAATAATTTATTATTTAAATATTACCAAATTATTGATTATTGAAAAAATAATTAGTTTCAATCTAAAAAAATACTTAAATTTTGTGGAGTATTATTTATAAGAACATTTATAAAAAAATACATTTAAATTTAATGTTACAAATTAAAAAAATGAAAAAAAAATTTATCTTAAATAATCTCACCTTTCATTTATTTGCAGAAAATATGCTTTTCCAAAAATCTCGTTAAGTGGTCGTTATCTTTTAAACGATGATCCAAAACTCGCACACATGCGGAAAGGTGAGATTTTTTCTTGTAATAATGAAAAATAAGATTATTTTTTAAAAGAGCATGAAAATATGGGATTATTTAAGATAATTTTCCCAATTTTTAAGTCCATCTTTCTAGTTTTATAATACAAGAAAAAAGTTGATACCCACAATTTTAATTTTTTGGGTGATTACAATAAAACAGGTTTTGTAACGATTTATTTTTAATTTTTCTTTTTTTCAAATCGATGTTAACTAGGATTTTAATGAGATTTGAATTACTTTTACGTGAGAAATTCACTATGTCCTAATTGATATTTTTAAAATAGGAAGTAATTTACTAATTTTAAAAGAACATTAAATAATAGCTCAGTCGGAATAGTTGGAAAAAAATTTCTTTCTAGGAAATAAATTTAATTATTCCACATAAAATAATCCTAAATATGGCAGTTTTTTTAAAAAAATATTTCTTTTCAATTTTCTCACAAGTGCCGCGTAAGCAATGCAAAGAGCAATGCTAGGTTCACAAATAGAATACTCACAAACTTCACAAACTTATTATTTATGATTTAAAATTTTATTTTAAATCATTTTAGACTATTTAATTTTTTCCATGGAAGTTCACAAATAGTAAATTTATGAAGTTTGTGATCATTGTGTTTGTGAACCAAGCATTTCCCGCCAAATTATTAGAATTTGGACCCTTTGTTATATACGAGTATAAAGGATAAAACATATTTACTTCCTTTTTTAATTATTTCATCTTCATATATTTTCTCCCATTCCTTTCCCTCATTGTCCTAAAGTAATAATAACCCTTCCAAAAACTCATTAATCTAAATTTAGTACTCCTTATTTACAATACTTTTTCCCGGGTTTCAATTATTCTTAATAATTGCACTCGAGTATGGGAAATATAGATACTTATACTTTTTACTAAAAATAATATAGTCATTGGGGAGGTTCAAGTGACATTGAATCTTGATGTCATAAGACGATCCAGGGGCGCTCCGGTGCCCCGTTTGTAAAATTGACGGTTCCTACCTCTCCTAATCCCCCCGGTAAACCCCCCCACCCGGCCCCAACCCGAACACACCCCCTTCAATTGCACCTCACAAGTTGATTTTGACTTTGGAGTCAAATTTTGACTCCAAAATCAAAATCTACTTGTGGGGTGCAATTGAAGGGGGTGGGGGGTGTGTTCGGGTCGGGGCCGGGTGGGGGTTTACCGGGAGGGTTAGGGGGGTAGGAACCGTCAATTTTATGAACGGGGCACCGGAGCACCCCCGGGTCATCCTATGACATTAAGGTTCAATGTCACTTGAACCTTAGTGCTAAAATATATATTCAATTACAGTGCATGAAATGAGGAAAAGACCTTTAAAAACTATGTTACTTTATCCAATTATTAGTGAAAGCATGTTTTAAAAAAAAATCTAAAAATATTATCAAAATTTAATTAAGTTTACTTTTGATCTATTTGAGCTTACAAATTTTTTAGATAAATATTCCCCCATCCACAAATTTTTTCGATGCTTGACAGAAATTGTTTTTAATCATATAATATGATAATTGGTGTAGAATTAAAAAATGAACAATATATATTTAAAAATAGATTTAAAAATATACAAAACTAGAGTTGAGATTATTATGATATTGGACTATACTATTTTTTCACAATGAAGGATGTTAAAAGTAATTTTGCTCCCTTCTTCCCTAAATAAACTTCCTTTATACAATCACGACTACGTCATCAAGTGTCCTGGACGAGACGAAAAAAAATGGACCATTGGTTCAAGCAAATAAAATTATACTCTCTCCCTCTTATAAACTCCTTTCTATTTCGAATCTTTTTAATCAAATAGTGACACCTTTTTATCATAAATTATGAAAAAAATATATCTAATTATGATGTAAGTTTAATATAATTAGGTTCATGTTAGGATATAATTTTGATTTTTCAAATTTATTTAAATTATATTTAAATCGTAATAAAAAATATTGTTTATTTTAATTTTTTTAAATAATGATATAGTTTATAAAAATCTAATAAAAATAAATATGCATTTGTGGCATAAGTTGTGGCATCACATGTGGCATGGGGTGCACACATGACGTGAAAAGTTTTTTACAAAATAAATGATCAATGAAAAAAATAATAAATAAATTATTTTCAATTAAAAATTAAAATAAAAAATTTCAAATGAATCAATTAAGTAATAACACATAATGAGAAAATACATATATGACATACAGCGTGTATCATCTATCAACTCTAACTTTGCTTTGTTTAGTTTGTTGAAAAAATATATATGCACCATATACTAAAATATACTTTGTAGTATCTAATAGGATAAAAGGTTTAAAATAATTTTGTATTTAATAAATATTTATATGTGATAAAAATATTATAATATTGCTTTGAAAATTTAATAACAATAAAGGTTTTTTTGCTCAACAACCACTACAAAAAAAGAAGGCAATACCGACAGGGGTCAATATGTCGCTAATGGTTAAATATCTGTCGCTACTCGCTTTTACCGACAGATAATTGTCTGTCGCTTTTACCTAACACTCATGCTAGGTGGCATAACTTTAAACTATATAATGAAGTAAATAAATTAAAAATCAAATGAAATATGAGAGAATGACATACAAGCTGGATGTGGATTGCACTAGGTGTTTAGATGGTTTACCTCTTGAAACATAGTGATGTCCTTCATTTTGTTGATTCAACTCATTTCCACTATGTGGCTCCTTTCTTGCAATGCTTTCACCTAAATGAAAATCATTAAAAACGAAATAACATGAAAGGTATTTTGTTATAACTTAACAAAAACATACATAACCTATTAAATTATATGGTAAGAATATTTTAACTTAATTTGAATACCTGGGTTTGACAAATTTGGTGTGGTTTTCTCGGAGAATAAAGAATGGCTGATTGATGTTTGTTGAAGTAGAGCACTACAATCCTTCTTTGAATTGGCAAGACAACTTTTTTCCGTATTCAAATAATCGTGTAATACACACAATCAACCTTTAAATTCATAATGTATGTCAAAAATCATCAAAATGTATAATTGTATCTTACAATAAGTTGAATGCTTGCAATCACTTGCTTCTTTTGGTTCTTCATGACAATTTTCCCTGTACCTTTCATAGTCTAATACAATTATAAACATTATTTTTTTAATAGAGACATGAAATGAACAAACAATGAGATTCAAGAATTCAGTATATGAAGCAAATTTCGTGGAAAAAAACAGATTTTCTTGATCCTTTAGCACCTTTAGAACAGAATTCAGTATCCATAAATCAAAACTTGATGTAAAGTCATGTTATGTGCTTTCATATCAATTCCTAAGCAAATATTTAACAACTAGAATTCATGATTAAGCACATAAGCATCTAAGAAACTCAAAAAGTGACTAGGCGGTGTTCTAGCCTGTAAATACAGCTTCTAGCTAAAATCATAACTTAATGCATAGGTCATTACATTCGAAGAGTAATACAATGAATACAATGAATATGATTTATACAGTGAAATTGGCAGCACTAATTTGATAAATAGTTGTTCAATCACCATGCATAAATTATATTACAAAAATTAATTACGGAAATTGAATATCAAAGCATATTTCAGACACAAAGCTCAGAAATTAAGAAAATTAGATCACTACTCAAAACTAAGGTTTCAACTAGAAGATATGTAACTGAAACCCACAAATTCAATTACTTAACCCAAATTTTGGGGATTTCAATTAAAACACAAAATGCAGAATGTTTAACAAATTTCAAGGTTGTACGAAGTAAAGTTCAATGGACTGGAATTAGGGAACCGGGTAGGATCGACTTCAACAGACCTTAAACTGAAATTTTATGAAAAGAAGAGTGAAATGCGATGAAGATCGAGAACAAGGTTGTAAAATTCGGGTTGGGGTTTCTATCATACCGAATACTTCGAAAAACGATAGCGACTGACGAAGAAGGATAGAGGACGGCGAAGCACGACGAGGGAGACGAGGGCAGGCGGGCGACGAGGCGTGAGAAACGAGAAACCTCCTCGGTATATGCGGTATACTATTGTGGGTGGATTACCACCATCGGGCCGGGCCATATTCGTCGTTTCTCAACCTATTTGTCAAGTTTGACTCGTTTGAGTCAAATTTGATAAATTTTAAGTTTTAATTCCTTTTAATTTGTATTGCATATTAGTATAATAAGATAAAAATTTAAAAATTCTCATCAAGATAAATTTAATAAAATCATTTTTATACTATTATACTCCGTACATTATAATTTTTAATTATTTAAAGCTCAAAGTTCATTCAATATGACTCAAAAAAGTCAAACTAGACAAATATATTGAGACGGAGAAAGTACATTTCAATTATACACTAGTGGATCTCAACCACACAATCCTAGTGGGGATAAAAGAAATTAATAAATGGATACATAATGTATGATGAATATTATTGGCTTACAAATTTCTTTGGGTTTTGGGCTCAAATTTCACAATATTAAAAAAAGTACTGGTAATAAAATTTTAATGAATGTTTTATTATATCCTTATTTTATTTTTATATTATTCATTTTATTCCATTACATCAAGGGCAATCATGAAAAATCTTTACACTTTTTAACTTTTCTTAATCTCTGTGTCAAGTCAAATCGAGAAAGAAATTTTTGAACGAAAATTTTAGGAAAAGTCTCGGCGAGACGCACAAGGGCCCGATCAGTCAAAGACCCATTGGGATCGTCCATCTTCGACCCAAAATCCTGCTTTTTAAATCGTTAATTTTGCAGTTTTGTCTTTTTTGCGTCTTTTTCCTTTAATTTTAACTTTTAACGTAAAAATCTTAAGTTAAAAATTACTCCGTATAATTTTGAATTTGTAAATATTCAATGTAAAAAAAATATTTTTTATCTTTAATTTTTAGTTTTTATCTTTTAAATTTATAATTTATTTTTAATATCATATATTTTTGTTCGACCAAACAAAAAAATTTGAATTGAGATTTTTTCATTTCCAATTTCATGACCTCAATTTCGTGTACTAAATGATGCCTAATTTTATGGTTTTCTATAATTAAGATATTTAAATTAAATGTCAATAAAATCAATACCGACAGATAAAACGTTGTTGCTAAAACTATAAAGAATACCGACAGATAAATTTTTGTTGCTAATACTATAAACAATACCGACAGATATATTTTTTGTTGCTAATGCTATAAACAATACTGACAGATAACGTTTTGTCGCTAAAACTATAAGCAATACCGACAGATAAAAGTTAGTTGCTAAAACTATAACCAATAGCGACAGATATTACTCTTTCTGTGGGTCAAATAGGTTTTGCCTACAAATAATTTTATCTGTCGATAATATTCTCTTTTTAGCGACAAATAAGGTTTCTGTCCCTAAGAATCTGTCGGTACTGCCCTCTTTTTTTGTAGTGAACTATGGTTTTTTAGTGTAAGAAAGAGAAGGGTTCATAAAACTTTAATAAAAAAAGTTATTTAATGTTATAAAGAGAACATTTTTTATGAAAATTTAGAAATAATAAATATATACATGGCATGACATACGCCGAGGTGTAATACACACGTGACATAAAAGTTTTATACAAATGTAATGGTCATCAAATAAAATAATAATGAAAATTGTTCTAATTAATAAAAATTAAAATAAAAATGTCAAAGAAATCAATTACGTAATGGCGCATCATTAAAGAATACATATGTGTCATGTGCCACATGTGATCCTTCAATTAAACTTTCACTTTGTTTAATTTTCTAAAAAAAATAAATAATAAAATAAATAATGTAATAAGATAAAAAATTGAAATATGTTATAAAGTTAATAAAGATGCATGTATGAAATTTATATACTCCCTCCGTCCCGGAAAACATGGGAATTTTGATTTTGAAGAGAGATTTAAGGAGAGTGTAATTTGGTATTGAATTTTTAAAAATGTCCTTTGATGTAGTGAGTAAAAATATGATGTGATAAGTAGGGTATGAAAAAGTAAGGGGTAAAAGTATGATTGCATGCGAATAAGGTTTTGTAAACGGAAAGCGAGAGGGAGAGATCCGCTTCTTGGGGGCCAAGCAGCATTAGTCCCAAAATTTTAGAACTCAATTTTATAATTACTGAAATTTTAGGTTTAACTTTTACAAAAAAAATTGAAAAAATTATTTTAAATGATCCCACCATTTCATTTTTTTTCAAAAATAATTCCACTTTTTATTTTCACTTCAAATAATCTTACATTTCTGCATGTGTGCGACTTTCATACTGCCATTAAAAAACTAACGGCCACTCAGCGGAATTTTTAGAAAATTCATATATATTGCAATTAAATAAAAAGTGAGATTATTTTAGACAAATTTATTTTTTTTCTTTTTTAATTTTAAAATTTATTTTTTTAAAAATATAACAGTGCATTCTTGTTAGAGATTTGTCTCAATTTTTTTTAAAGAAAAATGATTTAGGAATTTTGTTTTATGTTCTAGGATAAATATTATATTGGATTATCAAAAAATAATTTAGAATATCGCTCGAGAAAGAAATTGCAATACGAAAATAATTGTAGTGAGTTATAAAATTAATTAGTCCCCTTTTAGAGAAAAAAAATGTGTCATTTTCACAACTTTTGAATTATTATTTTGTAAGGAAAATGTTTGTACTAAATTATCAAAAGAATACAAGTTGGGTAGTTCTATTTTGAAAAAATAATGCCAGTAATTGATTTGCAGTATAGAATGGGCAAAAATAACAACTAAAAAGAATCCCTTGTAAATAGGGTGTCGAACCTCAGAGAGACGTGAGTTAATTTAATTTAAACAAAAGTTTACAAAAGAAGTTGTAAAATATTTTGGTCTTTTTGGTTTTAAAGATAAAATAAAAAGTGTAAAAGAAAAGAGTTCCAAACAACACAAAGTTTTTGATGATAAAAAGTTAGGGGTAGAAATTGGTAAATTAATTGTCCAATGTTTTTATAAAAGTTGGATTGTCAATTTATTTTTATATAGAATGTGTGGAGTTGCAGAAAAGTATTTAGGGACGCTCTCGCAGTTCACCTAAATAATAACTACTCCGAATTTAATACGCTAATGATAAATCCGGAGTAATTATTTAATAACAGCGGCAACCATAATTATTTTATTGTATGTTTACCCAATTTAATGGTGTAAAAATACAACTCAATAATTATGTCCACCCGAAAATCTTCAATCCCGGTTAAAGGTAGAGAAAACATACGGTGTAATTAAAAAGTGTTCTATTTTATGATTATTTCAATTTTAGCTCATATTCCTTTTAACAATTATGTTTATGATTGGGCCCTTAATTAAAAATTACAAACATTTCAAATTTATTTATTTTTAAATACAACATCTAAGTAAAAATAAAATCAACAATCCATGTTAAAAATATTCAAAACATTAAGATGGACAATTAATTAAACCAACTTCTAACCCCAATGGAATTTAGAAGTTCATAGTTTGAAGCTTAAACAAATAAATATTTATTACAATAATAAAAATCTTACAAAATGGAAGATGTGTTCTTGAGCTCCAAATATGATAAATGATGATGAAAATGGAGTAATTTTTATGTGTTTGGATGAAGAAAGTGGTGAGATATTAGTGATAGAGGAGGAGAATTTCGGATTGGAGAGAAGAGAGAAATGGGGGGTTCCAACCTCTTTGAAGAAGAGAAGGGAGTGGATTTTATAGATAAATTCGTATATACGGAGTATATACGAAAAGTTACAACTCCAGTCAATACAAATACAGTAGCGCACATGGAAATTAAATGCAGCTGGTTGTCTTGCCGTGTCACCCGTGTTCGAAGCTTCCCACCGTTCACTGTTTTGTCATTTTTCTCTCTGGATCAATGGCCGACTTTCAGTTCAGAACATAGCTGTGTTCGCCAATGATATGCTGAAATAATCAGGTTCTGCGCGATGGTCAAAGCTCCGGTTCCACATGCCGCACGTCCAGAGTTTGAATCCCAGGGCTGTTTTATTATGCTTTATTTTTGTTTAATTCCTTCATTCCTTCAAGTTTCTTCCATTTATTTTGGTTCCAAACTTCCATGTTTATTTTCCGTCCTTGCAATTATCCTAAATGCATCCAAATGACCTCAAAATGCCTGCAAAACATATAAAACCAAGCATAGGACCGCTCTACACAAATAAAACAGAAAATTGAAATAAAATATAAATATTAAATTTAATTGGGACTCAAAACTCCTTCAAAATATGTCTAAAAAGTGTATAAAATATGTGCATATCAGTAATAGAAGATTATCATCAATTCAAATTGACGTTCAAGAAAAATAATTACGACTTACAAAAAAATATAGTGAGTTCTTAAGTAAATAAATTAGTTCCGTGGTGTAGAATAATTTATTATTTAAATATTAAAAAATTATTGATTATTGAAAAAAAATTAGTTACACTCTAAAAAATACTTAAATTTTGTGGAGTATTATGTATAAGAACATTTTTTAAAAATGCATTTAAATTTAATGTTAGAAATTAAAAAAATGAAAAAAGAAAATTTATCTAAATAATCTCACCTTTCATTTATTTACAAGAAATATGCATTTTTCCAAAATCTCATTAAGTGGTCGTTAGCTTTTTAACGACGATCCAAAATTCGCACACATGCGAAAAAGTGAGATTTTTCTAGTAATAGTGAAAAATAAGATAATTTTTAAAAAGAGCGTGAAAAGGTGGATTATTTGAGATAATTTTTTCAATCTTTTAAGTCCATATTTCTAGTTTTATAATACAAGAAAAAAGTTGATACCCACAATTTTAATTTTTTGGGTGATTACAATAAAACAGGTTTTATAACGATTTATTTTTAATTTGTCTTTTTTTCAAATCGATGTTAACTAGGATTTTAATGAGATTTGATTTACTTTACTGTGAGAAATTCACTATGTCCTAATTGATATTTTTAAATAGGGAGTAATTTTAAAAGAACATTAAAAAATAGTTCAGTCGGAATAGTTGAAAAAAATCTCTTTCTAGGAAATAAATATAGCAGTTTTTTTTAAAAAAAGTATTTCTTTTCAATTTTCTCATAAGTTCCACGTAAGCA